AGTTTAGGAACATCCCAGCTGCCATGATCGAGAGATACAGTGGTGAAAAAGAAGGTTATGTAATCAGTATTTCTTTCATATTAGGAAATGCCTAAAAGAACCTCTACCACTCTTTGCTGCTTCTCTATTCCACTTTACCAGGCACACACAACTCACTTCAGTCCTTCTCCTCTCCCTGTGGGACAGACTGGTCAGGGCAACAATCATCACTACTTCTTGTATAAGAGTGGAGAACCTGTTGAGCCTGTGGCCTCACATAAGGCCATTTCTCAGGCAAACACCAAGAGCAGTCACAGGGATGGTCTGCATACTCTCTGAAATGTCTAAAACATCCAGCTATCCTGCCCTGGTTTGATTCAAGATAAAAGCACACCCTTGGTTCCCAAAAAAACCTGAATTAATTCTCTTTTACTCAGACTATTCACACACTGGTTTCCAGAGAAATAATGATTTCTGTGGTTTTAAATCTGCCTGGGTGTCTTAATGCCAATGTTCACATCTGCTCAACTCAATTAAGAGCTTCTGGCTATAGTCCAGGAATTTTGTCGGGAGTTAGAATAATTATATTAATGGTGCCAGATGGAAGTGATATCATCAAAGTTCATTTGGAAGCCAGGACTTTTGGTAAACACTGCTGTATTCGTTTGCAAGGAGGAAGCCGATATATGACTTATTTTTACAACAGTCTTTGTTTGCAGCTCTTCCTAGGCTTGGTCCGAACGTTGACCTGGATCAGCTTCTTGTCAGACCTGAACACTACAGTCCATTTGTATAACTGAAAAAATCAGCGGGCTTCTTGTTCAGGAGACCAGAAGCGTGTGGACCCTCACTAAATGCACAGCCCCATCCTTGCAAGACACTACTAAACTAAAATTCGTATTGTGGTAGCACTTATTGGCAACAACCAGGCTTACCCATTGGGCTGGGTATTGTCCTGGCTCTGAGAAATTGTAATTGCTGCCTTATAAACCCTAAGCTCAAAACGAATGCACAGGAGGTAGATTAGCTAAACAAACCAATTTATGCGTATATGCTGGAGGGAAAGATTACTAATGTTCCTAGTTGGTTAGCAGCAGTGACTGTACCTGGAAATCTAAACATCAGCGCTACAGTAACTGAAATCGTGGGAGTAGGCACCTCCATGCAAATTAGTCTGAAAGTTTCTCTGCAGAGGGAAATTGAGGCAGGGCATAAGGAGGGAGGTTAGGGAAATTTTGACTGGGAACATCCACGCATCACCAGGGACCCAGAAGATAACATGGTAAGCACATCGTGGGGAAGCAGTGTCTGCGTTGAAGCCAGTTGGGGCACACTTTATACCTCTGCTGCTTTAGTAGGGAGGCAGCTGCTCTGAATGGTATTCAGGCATGTCTGCCTGAATTCAGTCAATTGTGGGCTGCACAAAAGCAGTGTACAAAGCTGAGGACCTGGGCTCCAGTGCTGCTCTGTCCAGGAGAACTTCCAGCTTGCCCTGCAGCCCTGAAGGCCCTGCTCTCTCTATCCTGTCTGGGTGTGGAAGCACCTGGAAAGACTGACCATGACTGAGAACCAGTAAGGTTTTTTAATTTTAGTTCATCTTGGGAAATGTAAAGCAGTTGCACTGGCCAGAGAGGCCTGCCTCCACTGCAGCACAGCTAAACTGCCAGCCTGGCATGTGGTGGCAGGGGATCACATCATACTGTGTGGACTTCTGTGCTATCTGAGGAGCCTGTCCCCAGGGGCGGCCAGTGCTGCATGTACCCACCTATATTCAAGGCACAACCAGGCATGGCTGGGGGAGGGGAGGAGAGCGCACAAGAGAGAAGTTGGCAGAGCATGCTTTAATGTACTTTTTTAAAATTAAGTGAATCCTTTCTGCCTCAGATCCCATCCCTGATGGTGTACTTCCTGCAGATTCCTGTGCCAGCCAGTACTCAGGCTATGAATTGTCCCCAGGCAGCACAATGGACGTTTTCCAATAATGAAGTCATCCTCAACAGGCAGAATAGAAGTTTAGTGTGAGAAACAAGGAGCCAGCTTTGGGCAGACCTTTGAGTTGGACTAACACATTGTGTTGTACCTCTTCTCATAAAAGACCCACAGGATGAGTGGGGTTGGAGGCAGGGGTAGCAGGAAACAGTCTTTAAAAAGGAGTTAAGCTAAGAAAGGGATTAGTTGTAGGTGAGCCTGCCTACACAAAGATGGATGAGATAAACCCTTGTGGGCCTTTCTAGCAAAATTGCCTATGATGCTCTGATTGTGAAGGAGATAATGTTGTGCTTGGATTTATTACAGTGCCAAATTACTTCCTTTGTGTACTGGTTTTGGCTGGGGTAGAGTTAATTTTCTTCATAGTAGCTAGTATGGGGCTATGTTTTGGATTTGTGCTGAAAACAGTGTTAATAACACAGGGATGTTTTAGTTACTGCTGAGCAGTGCTGACACAGAGTCAAGGCCTTTTCTGCGTCTCACCCCACCCCACCAGTAAGTAGGCTGGGGGTGCACAAGAAGTTGGGAGGGGACACAGCCGGGACAGCTGACCCCAACTGACCAAAGGGATATCCCACACCGTATGACATCATGCTCAGCATATATAAAGCTGGGGGAAGAAAAAGGAAGGGGGGGGATGTTCAGAGTGATGGCGTTTGTCTTCCCAAGTAACCATTACGCATGATGGAGCCCAGCTTTCCTGGAGATGGCTGAACACCTGCCTGCCAGTAGGAAGTAGTGAATTAATTCCTTGTTTTGCTTTGCTTGTGCGCACAGCTTTTGCTTTACCTATTAAACTGTCTTTATCTCAACCCATGAGTTTTCTCACTTTTACCCTTCCGATTCTCTCCCTCATCCTGTTGGGGGGAGTGAGCAAGCAGCTGCGTGGTGCTTAGTTGCCAGCTGGGGTTAAACCATGACACTTTGGTATGTGAGTTTTTGCCTGTGATGACAATAAATATTTCCTGAAATTCCAAAAAGAATATAAGCAAAAGAAAATGAAACCTACATTTGTATTTTTACAGCATTCTGGCATAAAAATAATTGTAAACAGTCGTCAGAGCAGGAGCTTAAAAGTAACAATGTGGAACTGTTGAATTCTCCACAAAAACTGTTTGTTCCATCTTTCCTCCATAAAAATTGCTGGGATCATGTCTGCAGGGATTGTGTACACTAAGTACACATTTGTGTGTACTGACTTATTTCAATACACTGAACTAACTCTTAAACTTTGATAAAAGTGCAGACAAGCTTTTTGGTGATCTTCTAAGACTGCATTAGAATGGCTTACTGATAAACAGTGGTTTTGTTACAGAAAACCTTCAGCCCTGCAGTATTTATGTCCTTTCCAAAGACACCTTGTGCTGTGGTTGTCACAATATCACTGGTAGTGTGGCAGCTTTCCAAAACGCTGACCCTGCAGAGGGATTAGCGGGATCCTGATGCACCACATCCTGCCTTCATGATCCTGTGATGCTGAACTTCCTCTGTCTCTGCAGGTCCCTTGCAACCATGATGACACCTAAAAGGGTGAAGATGCTCCTGATTCTGGCAGTTCTGTCCTTCCTTCTGATCCACTTCTACTTCCTACCCTGCAGCAACAATGCCTCCATGGAAGAAAAACCTTCTCCAGTCCACATCCTCATTCTCTCCTCCTGGCGGTCAGGATCTTCCTTCACTGGACAAATCTTCAGCCAGCACCCCAGCGTCTTCTACCTGATGGAGCCCGCATGGCACGTGTGGGTTACAATGTACCAGAACAGTGCCAAAGTCTTACACATGGCAGTGCGGGACCTAGTCAGGTCGGTCTTTCTGTGTGACATGTCTGTATTTGATGCTTACATGTCTAGCCAGAAGAAAAAGTCTGATTTATTTCAGTGGGAAACAAGCCGAGCCTTGTGCTCCCCCCCTGCCTGTGACTTGTTCAGTCGCAGTGACATAATCACTGCAGGCAATTGCAGAACAATCTGTGGCAAGTATCCATTCAGCAAGGTGGAGGAAGCTTGTAAAACCTACAGCCATGTTGCCATCAAGGAGGTTCGGTTCTTTGACCTGAAAGTTCTTTACCCCCTTCTCACTGATCCGTCCCTGAACCTCAAAATCATTCACTTGGTACGTGATCCTCGGGCTGTGTTCAGGTCCCGAGAGAATACCATGGCAGACCTGAAACGTGATAGTAACATTGTTGTGGGGTCCCAGAGGACAAAGGGAGAAACGGAGCCCTACAACACAATGCAAGTAATCTGCAAAAGCCACGTTGAGATTTACAAGGCAGGCAGGCAGGCCATTCCCAGCTTCCTGAAAGACCGCTACCTTCTGGTTCGCTATGAAGACATTGTCAGAGACCCACTAGCAAGGGCTGCTCAGATGTACAGGTTTGCAGAACTCCATTTCACACCAGAACTTCAGAAGTGGTTGCACAACATCACCCATGGGAAGGGGCAAGGAGCACAGGCCTTCGATATTGGGTCCAGAGATGCACTGAGAGTATCCCAGGCCTGGAGGAAGACCCTTCCCTTCCAGAAAATAGAAAAAGTGCAAAATGTGTGCAAGGATGCAATGGACTTGCTGGGCTACCGGCTCATTCAGTCTGAAGAAGAGCAAAAAAATATGTCGCTGGATCTTTTGTTTGCCCAGAACTCCTCTGAGTAACAAATTCTGAAGGCAGAAAAGCTACTCTCTGCACCTACTCTCTGAAGGCTGCAGAGTGGAGAACTGTTTACTAGAGCAAAAGAGGACAGAGGTGCATGCATATGTGTGTAAGAGTGCATGCATGGATGTGCTATGCAAGGACAAGTAACACAGGAACCCCGACTGCACTCATGAGAGCTTTCTCAGCAGCACAGGGTCACTCTCCAAGGCCCCTGGAGGCTCAACCACAATGCAGGCTGAAGTAATGCAAGCCTGTTTTCCGAATTAAGTCCATGGTTTACGCGAAAGAGGGAGTATGTGTAGGTTGGAGCAAACAGAATGCCAAAGGAGTGGGACCAGATAGCAGAGCTCAAACCCCTCACAGACCACAGCTACATACTAGTGAAACCGTATGGAGCAATTGCACTGCAAAGGAAGAGGAGATATAAATGGAAGCTGAATAAAGAGGACATTATATGTCATGCTGCCACCCAGGGTATGTAATGCCAGAAGAGACACAAGGATGACCAGACATTGGTTTCTGGAAAGATCCTTTTTTCGGATTGGTTGAGTTTTAAAGCCCAATTTTTCTTTTGCTCCATTCCTGTGCCTGGGCATCCAGCCTTGGTGGCAATGTTGGGGAAATGTTTGTGTTCACTTAGTATATAATGGGAAAAGGGAATAAACCAGCTATAGTTGAAAATAAAAACTCCTGGGTTTGCATATGGGTATCCATTTCTGGGACTATGTGAATCCATTTATTTTTTAGCTGAAATAATTCTGTCTTCTAGCTTTCAAAACCAAGAATAGTTGTTCCCCTGGGAGCTCTCACAGTCCACATATGTGACTGAGAAGAATTCATGCTAAGGTTGAGACTGTAAAGACAAGGTAAGGACACAGATTCCATTGGTATGAATACTGGAACTGGGAAGATAGGTTTGTGGCAGTGGACTGAAGAAGCCAAGAGGAGAATGGGAAGTTATCCTACTGAATTATTTGGTGAGAGTATTTCCTGTCTTAGAGCACAACAAAATTATGTTTAATAGGCTATGCTATTCTCCACCATCTCCGATGCCATTCTCCCACCTCCAATGGGAATATGTAGCTCAAACCTGAACAACAGAATTATTTTTACCTGTTTTTAACAGTGTTCATAAGACAAGGAGAAAAGCTTGTTACCAGACTTAGGGAGTGAAATGCCTACAAATACCTCCTTCTAAACATCCTCTTTCATGTGTAAATTGCAGAGTCCCTTTAACATGCATCTATTTAACAGTGCATTCAGATATTGCTCCAGAGCTGGAATATTTCCACTCCCTGGAGACAGCAAGGCAGCTGCCCTAAACAGCATCACAAGCATCAACAAGGGATGAGGCTCAATTCTGAGGATGTGCACCTTGGGCGAAGGTGATCAGGGCAAGGCTGAGCATTGAAGGTGATCTGAGGAGGCTCCAGGCAAGATCAGGGTGTTCAGGGCCATGGGAAGCTGTGTCCCCTTCCCTCTCCACCACCACCACTCCCCCCACACACATATCCCCGTTCACTGCTCCTCCTCCCGGTGGTCTCCTCTTCCCTATCTGCCCTGGCTGCAGCCCCTTGCCCCAAGGCCCTGTTCACTTTGTCGGTCAACTGCCCTCCTCATGCCAGTGTAGCTCTAGTGAGGAGCGCTCATATTAAACTTGCCAGAAGGGCATTAGATGCCCACTATAGAAAAGTGACAGTGACTACCTGGAGGACTAGACCTCATTTGCATGTTACTAAAAAGTTGCAATATCTTCATAAAAAGAGAAACAAATACTGTTGAATTTTAAAATTAGGGGATATAGTGACTGTGTTCATGTTTGAAGGTGTATAGGCAAGGAACAGTATCCAGCCTCTACCTATTGTGTGTGTTTGAAGGGTGACAGAGAAGGACTCGCCCTAACTGAATAGCAGTCTCTAATAGTAGGAAGAAGGCTCTTCTGACAAATTCACAGCAGCTGGGTTCGTTGGGTTTTTTTGTACTGGAGAATTAATGAGGGTTTTGTTATGTGCCGATTCTGCTTACAGACAGACACTAAGCAGTTACATTGGTTAGCAAGAGAAAGTAGCTGCTAGCTAAAGAGTGGACCTGTGGAACAAACCAGTGAGCCACCCCCAGTTAACAGTCAGCTCCGAGACCACAAAAAGTAGCAGCCTAGAGAAGTGGGAGAGCTTCCCAGCTCAGAAGCAGCTCTGTAGTCACCTTCACTGGGGTAGGTATCAGCATTCCAGATCCTGTGTGTCCCTTTGGGGTAAAAGACCATCCTGCAGCAGTTACAAAGAGAGTTGCAGGATGAATTGTGCAACAGCAAGCAGTGAGTAGGGGAGGTTAGCTGCCCAGCAAGGCAGCTCTAGACGTGTAATTGGTCAGCAGTGGGAAAGACGATATAGGCAGGAGGGAGGAGCCTTTCTTTCAATTTCTGTTACATTCAGTATTATTGTTAATTATTTAGATTTCACAGGCTGGTGTTTTGTTGCAGCACTTCTCTTATCCATGAAATTCTATTTCTTCAAATGCCCCTGTGCACACTCATGACATCGAAGGGGTGGGTGGGCAGGGGCAGACCTCAGCGTGTCACCCTGTTCGCAGGGTTTTCCTGGTTTCTGGGTGCAGGACTAGATGAATGTCAATGTTTCTGAAGGAGCCCTTTGAAATTGAATCTGGACATACTCTTACCGCTAAACAGGGCCTAGCACATTGAATTATTCAGATGCACTACTAAGTCTGTATATCATACAAGCTGAATTTCTCCTATAGCTGCTGGTGATTCCTTCAGCACAAAGTCAGTCACCATCCAAATTTCACTTTCAGTCATGTTTTTCTTTTGGATGAAGCAATCATCAGCCCTGATCACCAAGACTAAAAACATGTTAAAGCGCATGTGCACGATTACAGGATGTTTTCTCCTCAGGGACATGGTTTCTTTCTGGAGATCACTAAGATAGGATTCCTCTAAGTATAAACAATGCTATAGTTTAAAACAAAGCTCTTACTCTTAGTAGTTGGAAAGACTTCAGGTGCTCTTTCTGCATCTTTCCAGAGTCTGAATTTCCATTTCATCATCTGTAAAACTGGAATAATACTGACTGAATTCCGAAGAGGCAGATCTCAGTCTTGTGTGGTGTAAATAAAAATTTGAAGCTAGATTCATAAAGGAGATAATCAGAAGTTGTATCCAACATTTAGGCTTTAGTGACACTTACAGATCACCTGCTACCATAGCGCTGTGGATATCTATATTCTTAGAGCTAAAGCCCTAATCCCTGCAAAGGGTGGGATGTTGTATTTTAGGGAAGGCATAGTCTTACTACTAGGGATCCTATTGTTGAATGACGAAATCCATGCTGAGCAGGCAGCACTGGCATCCCGGTAGTAAGTTCACTGAAGGCAAGGCATCTTCCTTTAAACAGTGTTTATGCAAACTCAGAGCAGGCAGGCTGGCATAGAGAAGTAGGATTCATACTGCACCAGAGAAGCGCACAGCCACTGTATTTCTTTTGAAGTCTGTTTAAAATGGACCTTAACTCAACATATTCAGATAAAAGCATGGAGGCTCAGAAGCCTGTTCTTACTGAAGTCATAGTGAAGAGCTTCCTACTTTAAGTGCCAAGAAGCCTGTTTGTGAGCAAACATAGACTCTTTTCAGTACATTGCTAATTATATCTCTACATAAACCAATGTCAGCTTGAGTGGCCTAAGTTTTATTATGAATACTTGTTTTCAGTGGACTCAATAATTCCGTGTATTAAATGTTTAGCTGGACCAAAGCCTTCATAGTGTTTCCAGTCAGCCAGTAAACAAATGACATAAAAATAACATATGATGCATTTTCTTAATGTACTGTTTTGAAAATTACTTTAACTTCTGCTTCCTAAGCTTAATCAGAGAAAAAGCAGGATCATTGATTTCAGTGTATCTTTACTACACTCCTTTAGCTATGTTTCCTCAATACAACAGTTGGTAAGATTTTTTTTTTTTTCTGGAAGCACCAAAGCCACACAGTGTGGTCACATGAAAATTTAAAGTTGTCTTAATGCAAGCAAAGATGACTTAAAATACTTCTTGGAGGAGGAAAAAACAACCAACCCCCCCCAAATTTCAAGACAGTGAGCATGACGTTTAAAACTATGGCTACATCCTTTGGCACGTGCATAAAATAAAGATCATGGATGTCTGTTTAGAAACAAATGTCAAGTTTACATTGTGCAAGTTCAGAAGAGTAAACTCTGCTTTTATACCAATGAAGTGTAAGATGGAGAAGTCGCCAATCAAAGGGACATTTGAAAACTGACTCCTCAGTATTCCTGTCTGTTGCTCTTCAGTCTGGTGCATGCAGTCAGTTCTTCACTAGTAACTTTAGTTATCAAAGGCCAGAATTCATTGATTTTGATGAATGCTGGCTAACTCTAAAAGGAAGCAAATGGGAAACACCCAAATTCCAGATAATAGTTTGCAGAACCAGTATTTCTGCCTCTGGAATTGTCTTTAACTCAAAGTTCTGGCATGCGCATTGCCACTCTGCTTAACCTTACAGGTTTACAAATATTGCCACTCCAGGCAATAATACAAAGAAACTTGTATACTTCTTTAAACTCCAAAAAGAGCATTCCTGACACTCCCTGATAGTACAGGGACCTGATATGAACATGGAAAGCCAAACTGTCTCCAGCATATTGGAAGGAATGTAACTGTCTTTGGTAAGACAAAGCAGAGAAAACAAGGATTTTTATCGTGGGAGAAGGCAGAACCAGAATGCCCTGAAGCAGAACTGCATGATATAGTGACATCTCCAGGTCCTGTTAATGGGAAAGTGGACTGAAGAGACCTAGACCCAGTGACAGGCACCCACATGCCTGCCCAAGCAAGAGTGCATCTGTGGATAAGCCATGCCTTTCAGGAGTTCAGAACAGATGGAAGAGAGCAATCTTGAGTAAGCCGTGCTCTTTGTATCTTCGTTCCTACGCCTACCGAGCACACCAAGTGCGTATGGAAAGGTCCTCAGTGTTAGACAATGTGTTTGTATGGTTCTGCAAAGGTAAAAGCACTGTACGCAGACTCAGAAGTTTGCATTGCATGTCTGACTAATCACCCTGAAAAAGACAAATTCACTCTTAAAATAAGTGTCACTTAGAGTTATAAAAAGATATAATAAGCATTACACCTGATCTTTTTATGTCGCAGCCATTTAATGTGTTCTCTCACTTTGAATTCTAGAGCAGCTTTGGTTAAACAAGATGACCGTTGAATTGTGATGTTATGGTGCTGCTGAGATGTGTACACCACCCAAGCTAGAATGGGAGGTTTTGGCTGCAGGAGGTGACGGGTCTCTTGTTCATGAACCTGGTCATCAGCAGTCCTTGGATTTCAAATCCAGCTGGTAAAGTTTCTAATTTTAAAAAAAATCTTACTTTATTTGCTATGTTGTCTTGCACTCTCTTGTCAAGTGTTTGTCTGGTTTTCCACACAAGTCTCAAGCAACCAGTCTGAGCAGCATGAATGTACCAAACCATTCTCACTT